TGTAACCTGTGTTATATGTAAATTTAGGCTGTTAGTGGTTGGCCCTGACGTGATGGCTGACCATCTTCCTGGTCCGCCTCCCAAATGATTGGTGATTGGAGCATGCGGGCTCGACGCCTCCAATCGCAGCGCACAGCCGGCGGCACACACTGCTGGAGATGACTACAAAGCCTGTGACTGACGATCACTCAAGAAGCTCTGGCTGCCGTCTAGGTCGACTTTTTCATGTTAATCGTCCTCGGTATCACCGGAAGCTTGATTTGTCTGCGCCATCTTGAGTAGCGTCCCATGGCTCTTATTTCTGCCGGAGAGCCGAGGAGCGATAAGGAGAGCGATAACCGAGGATCCCACCAGGACCATCTCCGATTAGAATCCTGCAGGAAATATTCGCTCCCGCTTCTGTGTTATCGCTCACTGATTTGGACGACGCAGCGATGCACTGATCTGATGCTTCTTGACATGAGAGCAGTACCCCAGCGTGGAGTGAAGAAAATTACATGAACCTCACGAGAGACACTCTCAATGTTATACTGTGTTTTGTTTTAATTTAATGTATCAATTTAGTTACAAATATGTTTATATCTGAACAACAATAGTTGGTCAAAAATAATTTTATTCATTTATGGAAACACTTTCATGATCGCTTTTTCTTTACATTTTCTTTATTGTCATTTCCATTCAGTCAGTCATTAAGTGCTATTAAAATCGTTAATGTGCTACACTATCAACAAACAGGTGTGCAATCCAATGAATGTTAATCTAACTGGTTTTGAAAGATAATATACTCTTTTTCTTTCTGCTCAATCTTTTTATATGTGCACTCTAATCAATATTAATCAAACTATGTTCGTTGTGATCATTTTAAGATGGGCGTGTTGTATCTTTTTGAGATGAGTTTTAAGTTGGATTATATCGGAGTCGGTGATACAACAGATGACACAAATGTTTGTGTCGGTAAATGTGTGGCCGGGGGTTTTTGTGAAAATACACGGGGCAGAGCTGCTGTCAGACGAACAGCTGTGCGGCGTCATCACAAACGACGTCGGCTTCAGGTGACGCTCCGAGGGAACGACGTCCATTGCTCTTAAAACTCATTTCCTGCTTCTCGTTTCCTGCGTCTCTCCATGGCTTCCTGGGTGGTGAGGACTAGACGCAGGGAAAACGACGCAAGTGATGGACGCAAGGATTCCATTTAACGACCTGAGGATTGCAGCCTCTGACATGGGACAGACGCCCTCCGCTACTTGGTCCTCTAGACAGATCTGTTTAACTTGTGGTCAAACTGGTGTGCCCGCATCTCCGTCGTGATATTGTGTATTAGTAGTGTGCTATAGTAGCTTAGTTAGGCTGTAGAGTAGCTTAGTTAGTGTTTAGAGGATTTTGTGGACTGTTGCCTTTTGTTTGCTGTGGTTTTTGTTACAGGAATCCTTTTGTTAGTTGTACACTTTTAAAGTGAGTTTTGTTTCATTCCTTATTTAGTGTATTAGTATTTACCTTTCCCTGTATGCATATTAGACTCCTTTTTTATTTTTTTAGGTCCTCTTTCGTTGTTTATTTTATCAACCTATGCCCTTTTGGCCTTTTTGTTTGATTCCGCAGGGCTGAATGCCTTCACTGCTATTTCACATAAACCTTGTTAATCTGATACCAGTGATATCCAACTGGTGGTGTGGTTGTTGTCCTCTACCCCTTAGAGGGGGACGTAACCGGCATTGATGCTCAACATAAAGATGTGTTTGTGTGGTATCCAAAAACTATGGGACTTTTTCCTTCTTTTTTAGTAAATACCACATTTTCTTCATTAAATAAAAGTGTTTTGCTGTTTTATAATACTATAAAATTGAACAATTTGAACACTTCAGGACTTCTAGGAACTGTCTCAATGATAAGAACTCTCGTGTATAAACAAAAAGTAGGTCAAAAATGACAACAATTTCTGTCCCATGAATGTGGGAAAAAAATGCGTCATAACACAGGAAAGCAGGAAAGTGAAAAGAATAACCAGAAAATGACAAAATGGTGTTTAAGTCTTTGAGTCTGTTTGGCAGTTGGATTTGACTAGGGAATTAAACTAATTTCAGGCTTCCTGAATAGAGTTGTCAGACAGCCTAAAGCGAGAGAGAAGTGCGCGACGAACAGACGCAAGCAACTGAAATTTGGAATATGGAGTGGGTGCAGGAATGAGGACATTTTTCCCAACTCCTGTTCGCTCGTCTGGATGTTTTTTATTAAATGCGTTTGAATGAAAGACTTAGCCGCCTTTAGCTTTAGCATTGGTAATATGCTGTTTAGTTCCTTTGTTAGTGTATATCCTGTTGGAAGAAAATGTTTACTATCATAATGGTTGAGGATGCAAGGAACAGGGAGATGCGGGATGTTATTGTGGGGATGTTTTAGCTGATGTAGTGAAGGTGAGCGGACGGATGGGGCAGCCTGCACACGGGACACCGCTTGTTCCTTTGTCTTCAGCTTCCTGTTTCCTGGCGCACACGTTAGCAGACGTCAGGGCTGAGGTCGAAATAGTCCATTTAGCTTAGGAACCTTCCTAACGGAGTGAAATGACCCGGAAGTACCTCAGTGGGCAGCCATGATAAAAGTTGCCGTTTCGAAATTCTCTAGATATAGGGAAAGGAGGTTTCAAACCTTCCTTTATAACCTACCTTTAGTTAGGAACCCACTGGACCTCCCTCACCGAAAGGAGGAGGGAAAATGCTGCCCACGCAATGCGCTTTTTCCGCCGCAGCATTTGGCCGCGTCCACACAAACGGTTGGTCGTTCACGGAAACAACCGATTATGACGAAAGAAATTATATCATGGAAAGTTACGGTGCTTATGAAGCATTTTAAAACGTATCGTGTAACTTGCCAAAGCTTTGTTTTGAACCGTTCATCAGTATTATAATCAAAAAAAGAGAAATAATAAACGTTAGTTATTTACTGAAATGATCAAATAAAGTCAACATTTCACAGTCTTTACTGAGCTGTGTGCGGGGGTTGTTCAACTTTAAAAGATGTTGAATTGGTGGATATACACGGGAGTGATAGATGTTAAGGACTAACCGTTGTAATAATAAATACATTGTATGGATTTTACAGATCTTTTGCATAAAATCATACGTATTGGGGATCATTTGTATTAATTGTGGACCGAGGGAGGATGGTGACGAGGCATAAGTTTCACTTAAGAAAAATGTGGGTTATTATTACTAAAGAGAGGGGAAAAGTGCATATTTTTGGATATAAACAAACACATCTTATGTTGAGCATCAATGCTGTTACATCCCCCCTCTAGGGGTAGAGGACAACAACACACACCAGTTGGAATTGGTATAATTATAAAGGGTTTATTGTAAATAGCAGGGTAAACAAAGTTGGATTCTCTAAAGTACCGCAGTCTCTTCTCCTAAATCCTTTTGAATTCTCCTATCCACTATTCCTTAACCCCGTGACGTTTCACTCAGAGGTCAAGGGATAGACGATAGGGATAGACGTTAGGAGCTGACTTTTGGATTATCCGACCGCAGCCCTGGTGTCTCGTGCGTCCGTGAACGATGCAGCCGTTCTTCGGACGTGACTGACAAAAAGTTTTGACTTTTGAATGAAGCTTGAAAACGACCATGTTAAATAATCTTCTGCTGAAGCATTCTACGATGAATCAACACCTGGAAATTGTGTTCAATGACAAACCAATGGTACCAAAGCAATACTTTAAGGAGAATGAATGTAAGAGACAAGATGGTTAGCTGTTGAACATAATCTATTTTGAAATGTATTGTGGTCCCTGAGACTTACAAATTAAGATTTTTAAAATCAGGTTGGGGAATCAAATTCCATTTACACATGCTACTTATTGAAATTTCTTCTGCATGACCTTAATAAAGCCTTAACATTTGCAGTCCCAAAAAAAAAGACATAAGAAAAAAACAGCCAAAAATATTTTAAACACACTAATGTGTACAAGGGACAGTGAGTATTGTCTCAGCAAGCTGTACATTGATAAACTGTATATTTATCTGTCAGGCGCTGGCATCACTGTGGATGACAGTGATGCCAGCTTAATTAAAGACTGTCATCTGGTGGAGTGAATGTTACCATGTAATTGTTTAAAGTAAATGTAAAAGTATGGCACACCTGTTTTTTAAAATTTTATTTTAGTACACCTATTTTATATCAATATTGATACTGTCACTCCACGGAGTTCACTCCGTCACGGAGGGGGAGTGTGTAGGGGTAGGGTGTAGGGCGTGGTTTGGGATTGGGCCGCCCTGTTCGCGGGGACGCGCAAAGGTGACGTCATCGCCTGTATTGAGCATTCGCCTACATTTCTAAGCCTTTCTCTCTCTTTTGAATGATATATTTCCCATCAGATTAAACAGCAAACGGCTGAATAAATAATCTGGATACAATTGCGAGGTGGCTCGTTTTAAGGGCACAGTCTTCGTATTGGAACAAAATTCCGTTTTTAAGTGTAGTCACTGTTATGTTCCTACAGAACAGACAATGAAAGGATAAGATGTCATTTGTCAGTATAGTCCTATTTCTTAAAACCTTCTCTGTTGTTTAAGTGTCTGATAGCCTACTTGTTAACCACGAATAGTAAGCAATTATATGATAGTAATGATATAACATAAGCCTATATGATAATGTCAGACACTGTTATTTTCAATCAAGCCTAAGATAATGTGTTCAAACTAGCTTCACTCGCTTTAATTGCTCCTTTGAATGTAATTTTCCTCTGTGGTTTCCTACTCAACACATTTTTGTATTGTAATGCCACTCATATTTTATTTTTTATTTTATTTTAAAGTGACATTGAATGTTTTGAAAGGTTTCCTAAAATAAAGTGTATTATTGATCTTATATCTGTGCCTATACTATTAATGTTCCTTATTTTAGACTCGGTTTTTCCTGGTGTCAATAGGGAAGATCTTCACTGTTCTCTAGATAATATGTTCAGCAGAGCAGGTATTTCTCCTGCCAGATATGGCACCCCCCTACAACTTTGTCCAGGACATTCACAACATCACCAACATCACACTGGTGCTGTTCCCCTCTAGTTTGTGCTCACAAAAGCATTTTACTCTGGGCCCAGCAGGTGAAAAACTAAAGAGGGGCTTCCACATCCGGCAGAGCAGGTGTTGTAACTGCCGGATTTGGAAGCCCCCCTATATCTTTGTCCAGGATAGTCACAACGTCACCAAAAATGTTTTTTTTTTAATGTTTTCAAATATTATTTTTTAGAATATCTTAGGCCCTGACGGCTCGCCACTGATGTACAGCAAGGTACCATAATACCACAGCTCTGTACTGCTATATCACAGTACTTCCATGGGCATGGTAACTGTAAAGTCACAGTACGTAGTTGTACTTTTATTCTAATTTACTGTAAATTACTGTGAAATCCATGCAACTAGTAGCCAGTAATTTACTGTAAATGTACAGCCAAAAATGTTACAGTGTAGTCATTGTCAGCCAACATGTGGGTCTCATTTTGCATACCAAGCATGTGTTTCATTAGTATCCGGCAAAATATATTTTTGAAAAACTAAAGCAAAAAAGGCCTTTCCTTAACAAAATCATCTGCCTTAAGTAGTTCAGGACATGAATAGTATTCATATTATATATTATGTATGATATTATATAACTATGAGCTCTGCAAAATCCATTTGTGCCATCTCTACATCCAGACATGTAGACAAAACTTAAGACTCAATGTTGACTTAGTGGTTTTAACAGTGTCCACGTCTTTCTCCTGTCTCCCTCTGTCCAAACTCCTTCAGCATTCCTTGAAGGGTCACATCCTCTTCAGTGTCCCATGACAAAAACCACATCTATAAAACATTTCTTTTTATGAGTTGGGATTGAGAACATTTGAAGGAATGAGCTTGAAGACACAGCTCGGGTTTGAGTGGATCTTTCTCTAAATGAGAAGCCAGGCATGTGTGTGGGTTTGAGGTTTGATTCCAATAAAGCTGCTGCTGTGACCTGTCTACGACTGAACAATCCCACATTCTGGAAATGAAGGTGTGCCACAATTAAACTAAGCATTAAGCATGTATAAAGCAGGTCTCCTCCAAAGTTTCTTCTTAGTCCCACTTCATCCGAGTTTATAAATTGAAGGCCACGCATGAGACCGAAATGGAAAACATTGCTGCTGTCAAACGTCTAGCTGTCCAAAAGGCCTATTTTTATCTTTGTCACGCAACACAAATCACAACCAATATATTTTCGCTGCCTCAGTTCTCTCCTAGTGGAAGAAAAAAGTTGATCACTCCCACTCTGTCACACTTGTCAATTACTCATGGAAATGTTAATTGCCACAATAAAGTATTTTTCCAAGACTTGTCCCCAAATTCATTATCATTCCTGCTCAAGTGGCTCTTGAGAGTGAGAGTGAGCCATACATCTAGAGAAGGGATTGTAATTCAGAACAGATGTACTCCTAACCACAGGTGATGTCGGGAGGGGGCCAGGCCACCGCTCCCATTGAGGAAAGGACAAGGGAGGGGGTAAGAAAATAGACCTAACCCTCCTGGTGGGAACCTGAGCCATGAAAAGTATCGATGTCAGTCACCGGACTCGCTGAGATTGTAGGCTTTGTTTTCCTGCCGGGCAAGGTGAACTGTACATTCCTGCTTTCCAGCAGAGAGGGACAGGGTTTAGTCCGGAATCTGAAGCTCTGATAGACCAGGTTTCAGCAGCCCTCATGCCTCTTGCAAACACACCGGTGGGAACTTCTCATCCTGACCCTCAAAAACTGAGGAGAGGCTGCTCTCTTGTTTTTTTTCCGAGAAGGAAATATAATCTTGCTTGTTAACAAATCTTGAAAAAAACACAAACCTGTTTTTTGAACGCTATTGTAATCTTTTCTAATGTCAGTGAGAAAAATGTAAAGACTGCTCTTCAGCCTGCATGGCTCTGCGGTGTGGTTCAAATTCAGAGTGCAGGGTTAGAGTGTGTTAAGGTGACTTCATGGGGGGCTCTGCTTTGTAATGTATTTTTGGTTGAGTTTTTTACAAAAAGTATTCTAGTTTACCCGGTCCTCTCCGCAGACCCAGGGTGGCGTGTGGAAGCTGATAACAGGAAGGAAAGCTGTGATCTCCAGCCAACGGATGAACAACTCCTCATCTGTGACCAGGTCTCCAGAGAGAGAACCACCTGCAAGGAGAGAGAGAGGCAGAGAAAAATGCCATACATGAAAATGGTAGACTCAAAAATATCCAAGAGGAAACATGTACGCTAGGTGATTTTGGAGACATGGTCAGGTTGTCTTTTTAGCTGGACATAAGCTACTAAAGCACGGGAAAACATAGAGGGAGTTGGAAGTGAATGAACCTTTTAACATAGCTAGCATCAGGTAAAGCTCCCTCAGGCGATACAGAAGTCATTTTAATGGTTGCTAATGTCAGTCATTAATATTAAACATGTTTAAAAGCTAGCGGCTTCTGGTAAAGACCTTGCCAAATTTGTTCTTTGTGGTGTTTCAGGATCTGGCTTATATGAATGGTGTTTGATTAATAAATAAATCATTAATACATTGATAGGAGGAAATAGTGAATTAAGGAAATTATAAAGTTGCATAATCCTTGCACAATTTTCACACCTACCAGAAGTGACATACAGTATGGGGCACATGAACGTGCCATGTTTTACGAAGGTCAGAGAGCAATTACAGTATATCAGGTCTTTTATTCTGTCTGTAGCAGTGACACTCTCAGCTGTTTGACTGCTATTGCAGGAATTTGCTATACTACACAAATTAACCTAATTTATGTCCAAAACATCTAGAGCTATTTTGTGCCTATTTCTTGATGAAGTAGTGAAATAAAGATGCTCTTTTTAGGACATATGACGTACTGAGGTGAGAAAATGTACTCATAGGCTGTGGTATTACCTACTGCATCAGGAATGAGGAAGTTGTATCCCAGCAGAGTGTGGTGCAGCAGGGAGGGAATGATGCCCTTCAGGCCCATTGGGCTCCAGTCGGACTGCAAGGGGCTCATCCTCACAAACAGAGGCTTGTGGCTTGACCTGAGACACAAATAGCATCATAAGAAGTGGAAGGAGTAATCTCACATTGGGAAACATCTCTTTCTGTAAACAGTGGCAGTTGGTACTGATGCTCGAGGGAGTTACCGTGTCCCCGCTGTAACGATGGTGGAGTCTCCTATCCGTGTGGCCATGTCGGCCAGCAGGCTGATGTACTTGTCTCCCCCGAGAGCCTGTGGAGGCCTCAGAGCTTGCTCCTCAAACAGATTCCCCTCAGCCCCCTCGAGCACCACATACTCCATCCCTAGGTGTGCCTGCAGGGACCCCACCCTGTCCAGAAACCAGCTCACCGCTCCAGGGTTGGTGATGTTTAGCTTTACACAGAACTTTCCTCGCCACTGACTCATCACAGGGATCTAAAGGGGAAAAGTAGAGTTTACACAACGATCATTTTCAATTTTTGCAATTCATTATTAACTACGGCTCCTCCGCTGTTGCAGTTTTAGATTTACTGTTTTAGGCCATGCTCAAACTGCTCTGCTTTTTATCAATCTGCAACTTGTGAGAAGAGACAGGCTGCAAGGCAGATGGAAATGGTCTACTTTGGAAAAAATAGCTGTTTCTGGTTTCTCTTTTTAATGGGGGTTCTCAAAAGTTGAGGAAATTGTACGTTTTAGACATGGAATATGTTTTCTGTGAATGGACCGATCACAAGGCAACTCTTTACTACAACAACAACCAGAATGAAATTAGAGAAACCTCGGGTAAAAGTTAACATGCAGAGCACAGGGAACGCAGCCAAGTGCTTCTCAGGATGATGATGAAGTCCACTCAGTTCTCACCAGCTGTCCCTGGGGCGCTGAGGGGAGGCTGAGCCAGAAGGCCTCGGTGCCGTCCATGAGGGAGGTGTGGAACTGCATGGTGTCCACGCCCAGGAAAGGGGACAGGGTGATGGAAATGTTAAGAAGCTTGACAAGTGGGAGGTCCCTGGTCAGTCTCTTGGACATCCCCCTTTTCCTGCTGTTGAGGTAGTCATGGTCCTGCAGAGAGACAGAGACATTCACTGTCATATCTGAATCAACAGTTAGAAAAGTGTCAACATTCTACACTCAGAGGGAAGCCTTACATCTTAATAAATGCTACACTTCAAATGACGATAAAATCATTGTATCGTATCGTACATACGATACAATGATACTTTTTCGTCATTTCAAGTCAGCAGCTCCATTTCCAACATTAACAAGGACAAGAACCAAGGGAAAATACAGTTAACGTAACATTGCAATCGGTAAATCCAATATTTTCAAGACCCCTTGCCAACATTTGATCCACGAAAAGAATGCTTTAATCTCACCTTATTAAATCGTAGGACCCTATATTTTAGATTTTATGGTGCAGGACATTGCAGTCAGAGACAATGTTAACATGTTATTATAATGGTAGGTTGATCATAGAATTTCTCAAAGGGTTGACCTACAATATGACTTTTGCCCTTTTACCATATATCATAATCCTTTGGTATTTACATGGACAAGTCAAAACAGAGATGTCAGGTTACATAACTCTGGAATGAAACCTTTTAAGAATACAACGAATGAACCCAGGAGGTAAACCAGCTGTGGGAAGAAAAGGGTGGATTAGCAGGTTATGTAATTTTCGTAATGCTCCCCTTTGTCCTGCTTCTACCCTGAATTTGAGTTCTGCATAATTGACAAAATAAAATAAATTCTGAAAAAGATGACCCAAACATATTTTTATAGTAGATTTGCGAAAAGCTGCATTATTTAGTCTGAGTAATGTTTTTAGAAACATGACAGCCTAATAATAACTCCACTTCCAGTGCCTGTAATTCCACACTAATATGGAAACTCGGAAAGAAGTGTGACTGATAATTTACGAACACTTGTAAAACTGGCTTTAAAGAGAAGCCTAGTTTTATTTACAGAGGGTCATTGTTGCCTTTTACACCTCAGTACACTTAATGGACAAATTCCATACGTTTCCAGGCAGCACTGTACAGTACACATGGCTTATTCTTTATGGCATTTATGGAGGGGAACTGGATGACAACAATACCTTTGATGTACCAGAAAACTTCACATTGTGGGTAAAGGAAACTTGTTTTAACGTCGACTGACGTGCGTTATTCCTCTCCCTCTTCTTAATCCTTTCACACCTTCTGAACTAGTAAAGGAAACATATACTGTAGGGTTTGTGTGTGTGTATATTATAAACTCTGCCTCCTCTTATATTTCATGTTCAGGTCAGATCGCTGCATCAAGTGTGTCTTGGCTGACATCCCTTCTTGTCTCAACACAACCATTTCTTCACCATCCCACGGTTACCACTCTCAGAGCAACCTGAGATCAGTTCTGAGAGTCTCTGTTTGTCTTCTCTCGGCTATATCTGTTTTGTAATGGAAGATCTCAAGTATTGACTTAGATCCACTTGACAGTGGTCCTGTTTCTAGGCAGTATAATTAAATCCCAAATACTGGGAGTATAGTCTGTGATCATGATATCAGATTTACAAATGATGAGACATATTTCCAAGAAGTGGCCAGTGTGCTGTGGTTTACATTCAGACTTATTTTTCAACATAAGGACATGAAGTACTTAACCATCTTTTTTTTCTACGCTGTGACATTTCTGTGAACCCGTCCCCCCTCATTCCCTCCTCGCCCGTCTCCGGCACTCTGGAGATTTACTTAAGTTGAAAAGTCTTTCATCTCTACTGTAGGCTTGACCAGTTTTGAGCCTCTGACCAATGAACCCTCGCCAGCTTCACAGCCCAGATGGTTAAGGAGGAGGATTACAGGAGTCTACAGCTACACAGTGCAAGAATAAAGGCTGAATAAAAGATCATTTGCACCATTAGAGATATGCTTATAGCAGAAGGCTACTAAACTGAATATGCTTAAGTGAAATGCGAACTACTGTAAGGTTGCCAGAGTATGACAGAAAGTAAAACTTTGATAACATTGGCTACAAACATTTTGGTAAAACAGCTTCTCTGTTGGTACAAACATACTTTTTTATAATTAGAGCCAAGGGTTGCAACTAACAATTATTCATCCCTCACACTTTATTTTCACGATTAATCGTTGATCGTCAGAAAATATAGAAACAAGTCTATCCCAGTTTCTCAAAGTCCAAGGTGATGCCTTTAAACGTCTTGCTTTGTCTGGTCAAAACCCACAGATATACATTTTAATGTGATTTATAACAAAGCGTAGTTGAATACTTGATTCTGATTGGTCAATTTGGACATTACAGAGGTTGTTAATTTTCTTTTAAGAGAACATTCCGTTGCTAAGGAGCAACAAGGGACCAATGCATGTGCCAGTCATATCCATCTGCAGAACAGCATGACTTTATCTTTTAAAGGTTGCCAGTCTACTAAAGACTCTGAGGCTGCAGTAAAGAGACAGTGTGGCGGGCAGTGAGGAGTGAGGAGCTCGTACCATGTCGGAGAGGAGGGTGGTGGAATGTTCATTGAGGCTGATGACTCCCTCCCCAAGCTGGTGTCTCTTCAGACGATTAGAGAAAGTCCTCAGCTCCCTCTCCACCTTCGGCCCCGAATCCATGTTAGTGAGCAGCTTCCAGAACGGCAGCCTGTAGTACACACAGAGGGATGATACGGATCTGCTGCTCTGAGGAACCTGGGTAAAGTGTAGTTTATCACTCCCTAAATACCCAGAAAGTTGTAGTCTGTGGTAACTGGAACCAGAGATGCACCACGGCTTGATTTATTGATAATATGAATCAACAAAGTTCCACTTCTGACAAGTAACCCACCACTAATCCTCAACTTAACTGAACGTACCACAGTGTGTTCATGTTGGGCAGCTCCCTGCTGTGCTGGTACAGTTGCTGCACTGCTTCCTGGTGAGCAGCTTTCACATTGTTGGCCACACACACGGTGTACTGCAGAGGCTCTCGCTCCATACTGGGCAGCGACTGCAGGCAGAACTGCTGTCGGCTGTCCAGCCCCAGCTGCAGAGGAATATCAGGAGAAACAAGCACTGCCACACCTGCAATGAGAAAGAGAGGGGAGAGGGCACAGGGTGTTTATCACATTGTACTGGTCAGAGATCCATACTTGATGCTTCAGATCCGTCTATATTATGAAATACATCAAAAATAGTGTTGTTACCAATTAAAAATACTTGCTCAGCGAACATTTTTAAATAAAATACAAAATATGGGTAGGCACATTTACAAAATATGGGTAGGCACATTTCTTTTTTTAAAGTTCTGTCAGATCAGTCAATTTCCCACATCATAGATTTAAGGTGGAAAGCCATGGTGCATCATGGGAGGCTCTGACAGTCAAAGTAACAATTGAATGAGAACAACCAATAGAAAAGCAACTGGGGAACATCAACAGTCCTTGATGACGCATTCATTATTTCATAACAATAAAAGAGATGATTTTTTAAGAAAGATAAATATAAGAACAGTAGAGCAAGCACAATTCCAAAAACATCTCCAACTTTACAAGCGACAAATTGATTGAGTGCAAAGGCCACAAAACCCCTGTCCTTCCACCTAATACTGACAACAATCTAGAACAAATAGTATTCTATGTACCACCTAACACTGCAGTGGAGGGTAACACAAATAAATACTGTATGGTAGACTGGTAAAATTGTCTTATTTCACAATAAAATGAAATGGAAAATAACGCATTTAATTTCAAACTCCCTAAAATATTTTTTATCAAATGACATCTTATGTTTTATGTCCTGCCAAATACTCCAAAGTAATAAAATACATGTTTTGAAAAATATAATATAATTGAAAGCTACCACCCTCAGATAATATGTGCCTCTTCAAACAGATATATTGCGAGTCTTAATGTACAGCAATGAAAAGCAGTGGAAGTATGAGACGGTCCATCGCAGATTCCTCTGATATGACATAGTGCGCGAGTGATACTGAGACGAGGATGAGCGTGACGGATGGAGTGTTGTGGGAGGTAGAGTGCGGGCTGTGTCAGCTGATATTGCTCCGCTCAGATGTGAGAAAAACACCCCTGAGTATGAGATATCACAGTATGTAGTTAGATGAGTTTACACCGGCACTGCTGGCAACTTCTCGGTAGGTAGGTTACACTGCACAGCAATGGGAGAAGTCTGGGATACCTATCCAAAGTCACATTGAAGATGTTTTTTTATTCTTCTGGGTTTTACTCCAGGGAACATCTCTTAATTTTGGGCGTGCGGTACGAAAAACAACACCTAAGTCTTCAGAACATTTCTCGTTTTCTCCCCTTCTGTAAGTAAGATTTTGTCAAGCGGATAATTGTGTCCGCAGATGTAGCTGCCCTGCAAGGAATGCCTTGTCCCTCTCAGGTTACCCCTACCCCATATCCTCACCACTTCTCACCCGTCCTGACTCCCACCTTCTCCCTCCCAGATTTAACTGCCTTCCTTTCCTCTCTGCTGCTACTCTGCCCCATCTCAGGTCAGCAGAACCCAGCCAGTATTGATCAGAACCCCCAACCCAGCCTCTCTTTCACTTACATTTGGCACCAACTGCTCAAAAGCAGCCAAACTGGAATTTGGGAGCTGATCAATAAATAGATTAGAATTTGAGACCAAAGGCGGTTCACAGTTTGAGAACCGGGGCTGGAAGCTTGGCTCACTTCCGCCCCCCCTCTCTAGTTTCAATGGGCTTACTGTTCTCCTGCAGGCAGGGACCTGCAGGAGCCGGCAGGATACGGGTCTATAATCAGATTAATAGTTTAAAGATCAGTCTTCAAGTGCTGCATAAAGCCTATTGAAGAGCCTTCAACAACCGGCTAACGTGTTTGCAATGGATAATGTCAAAGAGATACTGGTAACTCCTCAGCTGCCCCTCACAAGGTATTAGGTCACCCCCCGACTGCTTGTTATAGATTCATAATGCCAGATAAACGTAGGGTTTTGATCGAAACTGCGTTATATATTTCAAACCTTGAGCGATAAAATAGATAAAATAATTGTTCATGATAACAGGGGTGCCATGAAACTGCACATTTCAATAATGAATATACAGAGTGGTGTAGAAAGTGGGGCAGCAGGAGAAAATGTTACAGCTTTATGGAAGGATGGAAGAGGAATGCAGGCAGTGGAAATAGAGGCTACTGAGTACACCAGACACCGAGCAGCCTCGTAGAATGATGTGCAGATACAGCAGGCTGCAAACAGTGTGTTTTACCAAAGTGCACACAGGGTGGAAAGTGAAGTTTGCAAGCACGACTTCTGGAGTCACATTTAATTTGTTTGGGAAATGACACTGCAGAGCCTCAGAGAAATGGGACAATCTGGTCAGGAACAACTCTACCTTTTATTCTAGCTTTTAAACATGCCGATTTTAATGTTAAATATACTAAATCTGTTCTGGGGGTTTAAACAGATCTATTCAAAGCACTTTGACACATTTAGTTTCAGTATAGGGGGAAGTCCTGATTCTAAATGAAATTCTAACCTCTAGTTATATAAGTTTAAGGCTCAGACAAACATCTCTGGATGTGCCAGATTGGAACAGGAATCAATAAGTGTTATTTAAAGAAAGTTAAGCGGGTTTGAGGCCTTGAGTTACAGCCAAAGCGGGGTGCACAGGAGTTAAAGGCAAAGCGAGGGGGGATGAGACCCTATTTTTAGAACAATTCCTTAAACACTTCAAGCTTCCCCCGAAATATTTTCCACTAGCTCTCAAAAGCAAAATTATACGCCTGACAGAGCGTATCCGCTCACCTTTAAAGCAGCAGAAAGGCAAAACGTAAAAATGATTTAAGTTCATTGGGCAGTTTTGAATGATTGACACACACATGCCTCATTTTTTTACAGCTGTTAAGGGGGCACACAAATGAAGATTGCCTCTTCACACACATTGTGCATTCACACACACTCCCTTTAATGGGAAACTGTAGACATCCAAGGAAAACAGAGCAGAACTTATAGGGCTGTAAAGTTTCTGCACTTTCTCTCGCTCAGTCTAACCCCACGCACCTTCTGATGGGTGAGGAAGGTTTTAATGTGGCGTCTAGCCCCTCGGAGACTGGCTGGTCTGGGTGGGAAACCAAGTTGAATGACTCCCTGCTGCCCCGGGCCAGATGGGCTACACTCTTTTACCTGTCATATTTATACTGTTATTTATGACACCTGTGCACATTTACAGACCTGAGTTAGGTTATAAAAGGTGCATTCAAATGCTCACTGTGTGTGTGTGCGTGTGTGTGTGTGTGTGTGTGTGTGTGTGTGTGTGTGTGTGTGTGTGTGTGTGTGTGTGTGTGTGTGTGTGTGTGTTCAGGCATGCATTTCCTTAACAATGGAAACTTAGTTTCTTTGCCCAACCTCAAGAAATTGATGGCCACAAAACTGGGATCTTGCCATGGTAGTACATTTCCAATTCCACTTATTGAAGAAAAACAATGAAACACTAAAGAGGCCTTTTCTTTGCTCCATTCCTGTCATCAATCAGCTTTATTGTTTCCTGTGTGAGATGCTGTGTTCCGTAGAAACATCACAACTGTGAAAGGAGATCAGAAGATACAACATTCAAATACTTTTATGTTATTTAAAAGTATTTTTCATTGCTGGATATTGGTTTAAGAAATACTTTATTTACAGGTCAATTATATAGAAGATCATTATTTAGAAAATAAACAGAGCTGGGATGAAGAACCACAGACTGATCACATGTTGTGTTAATGTGGACAGTTGATACTGTAATATAAGTGGACTAACGCGGCTGGATAAACCCTCCATTAAAAACTGTCTCTCTCTTGCTTGTTGTCCTTGATGGAAAGTATTAGGTAGGACATGGACTGTGGAAAATCTTGAGGGATGATGTTCATATTATAGTAGCCTTTTTATACAGGAGATGACAGCTCTCTTTTAACAAAGCTTCAGTTGGCCAAGTGAGTCATTGTTAAAGTGTTTCACCTCTTACTTGTCCTGCAGAGTGGAGGTTTCAGGGCAGCTGCCCGCAGGCACCTCCTGCTGACCCGTTGAGTAACAGAGGGGCAGCTTGTTTTCCTCCTACATCCGAGCTGAATATTTTAAGCATTTAATTCTGTTTTCGTGTGACTCAGTGATCTGGGGTTGGAATAAGGACAAAGAAAAGGCTGAGGGAATACTTAACCAGGAGCTATTTAGAACAAGAAAACAAGCCTTTTTTCTTTTTTCCCTATTATTCCTACTAAACAACTTACTTAAAGGTGGAGTAGGTACGTTTGAGAAACCGGCTCGAGATACACTTTTTTTTATATTCCATGGAATGCTCTTAACATCCCGATAGCAATGAATATCTT